ACGGATCACGTTTTGTTCTACGACATTAAATCCATCAGCAGTGACCCCACTGGTGATTTCTGAAGAGTTTACGTGTCTGAAAAACGATGGTTGTTACCAAGTGGCTGAATAGGACTACAGAAGTTGTCGAGGCCGTTGTACGTCATTACGCCGAAAATGTAAACACTCCCTCTAAGTTTGTTTGCCCTGTTCTGCTTGAAAGCAAGTCCCTGCCTCCTGGAAACTGTTCAAACAAACGTTTCAACTTGTACCATTTTTAATCTGTATGTTTGAATATGGATCTTAAGTTGGCGTGACGTTGAAGCAGCGACCCTGCTGTAGTTCGTTTATAGCATAACGTTAGCATTTTGCTTCTGGCGACTAGATTTATGATTCGAAAATTATAAAAGTAGGGTAGACATGTGGAGATTATCCGGCTGAACAAAACGTGATCCGTCTCTTAAATGTGTTTCAACCACAGACCTTATTTCCAGCTATTTTCCAAAATCCTATGGAGAAATTGCATTGTGTTTTTGTCGAAGGAACCGGAAGGAGTTTACTTCCGGGTTTTAGGACGCCTCACTGTGGCACTCTATTCGTGACATGTCCAAGCTAAACCCAAAAGGTGATGCCATGCTATTTTCCCATTGGCCCATTATTACAAAAATAAATATGGCAGGAAAAAAAATGCATTTGTACAATGGCCAATTACTCAAAAAAGAACAAAACAGAAGCACACAGCTAATTATTATGCTAAATTATGTTATGGAATTTTCCTTTTTTCGACATTTCGAGAACGTTTTATCACAAACTTGACCAAGACTGTAGTACCAAACTGTCTCTGAAAGTAAAACAAATAAAATTCTCGCAGCACTACCAAAACAAATTGGCTGAGGTCAGAGACAGACACACACCCTGATGTTTATGTTGCCATGCTAATGCTTCACACCTCGACCTCATTCCTGTGACTTTTGGTGCTGATATAACAACATCACACTACTTCCGCCTTTGCTTCTGCTAAAGGTCAGACATTACTCACGTGACTGCAATTGAGAAAAACATAAACAATTTTAATGTTTAGCCTTTTTAGTAGAGGACAAAGTCATAAGATAATTAGTTTGTTGTTGTTCTTGTTTTAGCACTTTTCTGTATTGGGCATTTTTCCAAGTGGCATGTCGCTATGCAGATAATTTTAGAAACAGGTTACTTGGAAAAATCTGGTTCATTTGTCATGTTCAGTTTGAGGAACTCACTTATTTAGACTTTTACAATGTACTTTGTGACTATACGTAGCTATGTGTACTGATTTCCATTGGGTCAGTTCTCATTTAAATATTTGTTCCTGTTTGGGAACTTTATTACCCACATTTAGAAAGCTGTTAACAAACCTAGTTATTTGCTAAGAGATTGGCTCATGAACAGTGAATTATCTATGTTCTCTTATTCCAGTTAGATAAGCGCTTAACATGAAGTTTCACCAAATTTGCCAGCTTTATTTTGCAACATGAGATAAGTCTTGCAATTGTTGCTCATTTAGCACATTTCACTCATCAAAACAAACGCCATACAGTTGTGTTTTCTGCATCAGCTTGCAAGAGCTTATTTGTAATTATCGCACTAGTGTTGCCAAAGGCTGAAAACCGCTGTGAGTCCGGCTCGAGGCAGAAGCTAAACTGTCATCATGTTACAGAGAGTCAGTTTGTCCTGATAACGCTTTGAAAAGGTCTCAGCCGAACTGGCCAAATAAATAGTTTCTATAAAAGTTTAGAGGCAGTATTTTGTGGATTATCCAGCTTTCTGAGAAGAGGAAGCAACACAAACGCTGTTGTATTGAAGGGAGGCAGACATTTATATTTTGGAAATCTCAAAACCTGGAAAACTTAACTCAGACGTATCTGCATAGCTAGATATTACTATGGAGGCAAAACAATTGTAATTCTAGTCAACTGGCCTTTTAAGATTACTACAAAGCTATTTCATACATTTTGATATGTTGTACTTCATGTTAATACTAGTACTAATTTTAATTAACTAATCATCTTTTTCTATCTTGAATGTGTACTTATTTGACTTTTATTTGTCCAACCTTTGCTTGACTCTTTATTTAATACTTTCTTTACTGTCCTCTTTGGTGTAAAGTCCCGGACACACCAAGCCGATTTCGGCCGTCGATAGATGTCGATAGATGTCTGGCTGTCGATGAGCGTCTTGTCGATCTACTCAGATTGGTGTGTCCCGCCCCATCGTGTCTTTTCGGCCGCGCCGACACCTTCCGCCGCCGATTCAACATGTTGAATCGGGAGGCTGTCGGCCAAAGGCTGTCAGCTAAAGAAATCCCTCTGATTGGCAGTTCAGCTTAGCGAATCAGAGCATGAGAAGCGAAAGGGAAGTGAGGGACCCAAACAAACTATTAAGAAGGCAAATCTGAGATTTCATTTAACTCCAGCTCTCGACACAGGTTCGGGAAAGCCCCATGAGCTTCTCGCTCTAGAGTGAAAATGGAACATCGAAATGTCCCCTCTTTGGGACGAATAAAGGATTTGTCATTAATGCACAATAATAGTCTTTTTTACAAAATCCCAATTTGAAATATTGCAATATTCAAGCTGCAGGAAGCAAAACATTTGCTTAAAGCTAAACAAATAACAGATACAAATAAATGTAGTGGAGAAAAGACCATAATGGCTTTCACGATGCAGTGGCGTAGCAGTATAAGGAAGAAGGGTCACATTTAAATACTTGGTCAAAATAAAAGCAATTTTTTTAAGAGCTTAGAAAATCTAAGTAAAGTCAACATTAAGATAACAAAGTAATCCCTTATATTATAAGACATTTCTCAGTGTGTTCTGCTCTGAAAAGAGAAGTTGCTTGAGAGCATTTCACAAGTTTCCTGT